CGACCTTCTGGCACTACGCCCGAGTGGAGCTGGTCCCACCGAGCCCAGCTGAGATCCCCAAAGCCATAGAAGCTGCAAAAGGAATGATCAGGAGCTATCAGACGGGACGCCTGGGACAAACTACAGTGAAAGTAAGTTTGAACTGAGTCGATTAACCTCTGTTTACCTTTTAGATTAACTTTGCTGCACAGAAAGTAGACCTTGAAGGAATGGCCAGCCTGTAATGTGTAATAAACAAATAGTTTGACAGATGTGTGCTTCCATGTTGCTGTGGGACTTCAGGGCCCTGAGTGATTAGATTTTATATTGTGCACCAGAAAGTACCTATTTTGAATATTTACCAGTAGGTTGTGAATTTTGCTTGAGGGTCATTCCAGATGAGTTCATCAAACGCCTCGCACCTATTTTAGGGACTTTAAGCATCATTCCATGTTAACTTCAGCTACACTTGTGATAGTTATTACTATCCTTTATTCTTTACAACATCCTTTATTCTTTACAAAGTCTGTTTCACTGTCTCAACGTAAACATTGTGGGTCTCTCACACACACAAACCTTTACAGAACATGTTAAAGTAAAAATAGGTAAACACAAGTGCCGTAACACCAGCTGAATAACATCTCAACAATTACTTACAAAACCCTCTTTGTGTTACATTATCAGGCCTCATGCAGCGACTGTTACTGAGTGTGTTATTCTAGAAACATTTAAGGAGTTTTCTTGAGTGACAACTTGTTTCCTTGCAGGATGCCATAAGGAATGGACTGGTGACCACTGAAGTGCTGATGTGGTTCTACATCGGAGAGTGCATTGGCAAAGGAGGCATTGTTGGATATGATGTCTGAAAAATGAACTTTTCTTCCTCCTCTTGCTTTTCCAGTCATTACATTCTCAACAGCCTGCACCACATTCTTCCAAATAAACAGATGTTTGTATACAGGAGTAGATTTTGTGTCTCGAGTATTAATTTCAAGAGAGAACTGGGTCATATTTTATTCATAAAAGATTTACAAAATGCAAGAAACCAACGCTGAATATGTTCTACACCTATTGTAGAGAATATTAAAGTTTGCATACATGTATAATTTAGAGTGAAAATGTGGTAGTACTGCAGATGGCAACAAAACACATCTTAATTCAGGCTGCATATTTTAATAGATGCTACTGCTACGTAATGATGGACATCTCCTCTCGCTCTCGACTCTCCGACATCGCGTTCACGACGTTTCCCAGGTATCTGCAGAAAGCTTGCCTCACATCCTCTGGCTCTTCTTCCAGGTTGGAGTGAATGAGCAGCAGTCTGCTTAGATGTGACGCTGCACAAGAAAATGTGACTACATTAGCCCAGAGATAATGATTCTCATGACTCTCAGAGGACTGCAGCACAAGTTACCTAAAGGCAGCCGTCTGTCTTCCACTCCACTGCCAGGCTTGTGGTGAGCTATGAGCAGACACTGGCTGTCCTGCAGACCTTGAGAGGAGATGAACATCGAATGCCACGTCTCTATTTCTTTGAGGTGACTTGGAACATCGGGGTTAAAAATGATCACCACACCGCTGGAGTCCTTCATGATTGCAGGCCAGCATGATTCAAATCTGTATGAAAATACATTTTACTACCATCATATTACAATGTAAGTAACAACACTTCTCTTAATTGTCACATAAAGGTAAGGATAACATCTATGCCTCCACTTACTTGAAATCCCCTGAACAGTCCCAAAGTTCAACCTCGCACGACTTGTCACTGCTGCCCTCAGGCTGTGATTCAAATTCCAGTATCCTTGAAACAACAGAAAGTAGCTGCACTTTGTATTTTTACACACAAAGACTGATATCTGTCAAGGAAGGCTATGATATTGGTTCAATCTTGTCATTGCGATGACTGATTTTTACACTAAAGTGACACTCGGAGTGGCTTAATGTTGAAAGCAGTAAAGCTCACATAGGATTTGTACCTGACTCCTTGAGTAGGTCTGTATTCACCGCCCACATTTTCTGTTGTGTCTGAGAGAAAATTTGCAAGAACTGTTTTCCCACTCTGAAAAACAGAAAAGCAGATGGCTTTAGGTACAATGGCAAAATAGTAGCATTACCCAGCCTGACAGACGGGAATTATTACCTCTGGCAAGGAAGTCATGTTTTTGGTAGCGTTTGCATGCATGACATTCTTTCTGTCTGTAAGCACGATAGTTTGAAAAGTTTTGAATGAATTCTGGTAAAACTTTGTTAGGGTGTAGAGTGGGGCCATGTTTACAAGCTATTAAAATTTGACTTGTATCCAACAGGTCTTTGGGGTCAAAGACCTGTTGTTCAACCAGTAATGATTTACTGGTTGAAAATTGACAAAAAGTGTTATAACTTAGAAATAGTGATTCTTGTAAGTATTCTGTGCATTTTCAACATATAGAATGTACCATACAAAGATTTGAAATGTCACATTTGACCTCTGACCTCTTCTAAAAGGTCAATAAATTGAACTGAAGATCAAAGTGATAGTAATGCTATATAGAGCTAACTATGCTTCCTTGCCATTATTTGTATTGGCAACATTTAGGAAATAATACTGGTATATGAGGACTCTAAATATCACACTATAGTTTGCATCCAAATATCATGTCACATTTCAAATCTGCCTTTCTTTCACCTTGACTGAAAAAATGCATTATATCTTTAAAATAGGTACTGTCAAGAGAAAGAGAATGAGCTGCAAGCTCAAGTTATTCATGAGTGAACTGCCTTGTGGAGGTTTGCACTCTCGTGTTTTTAAGTAAATATTAACTTTAAAGTTAACTACTAGTATTACTTAAAAAAGCAAAAAGTAGAATATGTCCCTTCTTCTCCTTTCACCTGCTCCCTTTAGGGGTTGCCACATCAGCCACCTCAGCCCTTTTTGTGTCCTCCTTCACCACATCCATGAACCTCTTCAGTGGTCTTCCTTATTTTCTCATGCCTTGTAGCTTCATTATTAGCATCCTCTGTACATGTCCAAAACATATCATCCTTGCCTCACCAACTTAGTCTCTAAGCTCAACCTGTCCTCATGCATGTCTTCCATCACCCTCACCCTACTCCTGACTTCCTCATCCAGTACCACACTTCCTCTCATAGCATCCTGAACCTTCATCATTTCCTTGGTGGCACAAAATAAGCATTCTTGTACGTATGAGCACATTAAAACCAATACACACCCCTCAATTAATATAAACAAGTACAGTAAGTTTTTATATTTATTTTTTAATATTGTGCAAAAGTCTTGAGCTACTTTTTGTCGTTCTTCCAAGGAGCCAGAATTTTTTAAAACTGGTCTCGAGCAATAGTTCTCCAGGCTTTCTGAAGCTCTTTCAAAGTTTTGCCTGCCTTTTCCCCTTTTAACTCAAGAGATAAACCAGTGTTGTGTTTACACAGAACAGACAACTCAGCAACAAACCTGTCTTAAATTGTATCTCTAGGCACTTTGTTATTAGTAGCCTGTTACAAACATATAATTTTGGTCCCATAATTCTGGTTGAACCCCTGTTACAGACTGGCAGGGTGTACCCGGCCCTGTAGCAGTTGGGATAGGTTCCAGACCCCTCAGTGACCTTGATAAGAGTAAGTGGAAGAGAATGGATGGATGGATGGATGGATGTTTTAGTTGAAATGCCAATAATGTAAAATATGAGTCAATTTGCCAGGCGCAAAAAAACTTATTTTTTACCAGCAAGGGGATTCCACATCAGTTATTAGCAGAAAACTTGGCATGTACCAGCATGGTGTGTCCTTAGGAAGTTTGAGGAACCTCAACAAGTTGAAGAAGATAAAACCTGTCTGCAGTAATTGAACAGTAACAAAAAGTTATGTCCTTAAGATATAGGGAAAAAACTGAGAGATACATCTGGCCAATGTTCCCTCTAATTTTTCATGTGTCTGAACAAACATACAAGCTCCCTGAGCGGTCCCTTGGACCACTGTGAGCAACAGCAGACGTGTGCACTGTGGTCACACCAGCATCGAATCCATCCAAGTTACATGGTTTATTAAAGTAATCAAATTACAGCACTTACATTTATGTTAGACTACTTTTAATTAACTGCTTTAGCCCACTTACAATGAAAATTTAAAAAAATCTTGTTCATGACCTGTGTAGTATGTTAACACTATTGGAAGTACCAAACATATTGCCCATGCAGCAAATGCACACACAAATAGTACAACTGAAAAACACGCATTTTGAACACAACCAGCCATTTATTGGGCTCCCCAGAGCCCAGTTCTCAACAAATCGACTTCCAAACTTGTTATTATGTTACAAACTCAGTTTTTAATTTAATATACTGTGTTTCAATCTATGTTTGCACATTTTTCAATAAATCTCTGCACCCATTTACCTATCAAAATATAAAAAAAAAAACATGAGGGATGGCTCGAGACTTTTGCATAGTACTTATCACTCCTTTTCCATATATATGCCTTGGCTAATATTAGCCAAGGCAAATTTCACTGTTGACGCTTTTCGCTACCTGCTGGAATCTGAAAGGTAAAATAGCAACTATATATGTGTACAGTCAAATGAGAATTTACTCACCTCATTGGGACCAACAAAGAGTATTTTAGCTTTGAACATTTCCACTCAACTGACGCTGGTTAGCATTAGCTTTTCAGCTAATTTATCTTTAAAAATTCCGGGATAGCGAAGCAGTATCGCAACAGCAAGGTAAATGGAAATCAGCCAGACTTAGCTGCGTACATATCTAAACCACGTCATACTATATTTTTACCTTTACTTAATAATATATATATATCTTTAAATGATCTTCGATGCTTCCCGAGGATGGCGTACTAGCAATCGCGACAGTAAACTTCTTTTCCGTTTCTATGGTTTCAACCAGGCTCTCTGCTTTCTCTTGTTCATTGGCTGTTTACAGGTCTAATCAAATTTGGCCCCGCCTATTCAACCCTTAGGGAACGAATCAACAAAAAGATAGTAAGTTGACGTCGTTACGCTGCCTCACATCTAACCAATCGAGTGAGACTTTCCAAGAGGCGACTCCCCAGAGTGGAGGAGCGTTATTTACAAGAGGTACAAGGCGAAGGAGTAAGTGTTGTTTAAATTTTCAGGCATGCTTTTGTAAGTGGTTACTTGGTTTAGGCGTTATTAAACACGCTAGACTTGAATGACGATTTACTTGGTATAATTACTAAAGTGCTTGCTACGCTTAGAGTTCCTTAAAGCTTAACAGCCACTTAACCTTGTCTGTTGCTAAGAAGTAGCTTCCTTGGCGACTGGCTTTCTCATGTCCAAGCAGGACTTACTTTTAACCTTCCTCTTGTGTTAGCTGTCTGTAACTATCTCTTATGTTGAAGGGTCGCCTTTGACCAGTGTTCTAAATAAGCCAGAAAATACCTTCAAAACAGCGGTTTATCATCCAGTTTGTTTTTAACCTATGGGTTACATTGTTAGGCTTTTTTATGAATTAAAATGATCAATTACATTATATCGCTTCTTTTCATTCTAACCCCCCCCCCGATAAACTGAACCTTAAGAGAATTTTATAAAGAAATAAAAGGTTGTGGTTCTATTACCTAACTATTACTGAGAAGTATTACAACAAGATGTCTAAAATACATTTATTCTGATTATTATTATTATTTTAATATTATTAACTATAGTAACGTTATAGTAAAGTAAAGTATTTTATTTTATTTTATTTTATTTTGTCCACCATGGTAAGTTTCCTCCTGAGAAGGTATTGCCCCAGATCATAGATGCTAAAGAAATTGTCACACATAATATTGTGACCCCACAGTCCAGTAGTCATATGAAGGACTACACGCTTTCCTTGGTTTCACCCAGGGATGCCACTTGGAGGTTTGCCTGTGTAACTCTGTATTTCCCATGCATAGGCGGGTTTTGCGCATAGTATATTTGCGCATGTCATTTGAGCATATTATATGCACATCTGTTGACAGTAAGAGGCATGTCTCCAGAGGATGACCTTCGAAGTCCCCCCCTTGGTTTCAGCGGTACCAGGGAGGATTTCACTCTGAGTCGTGGCGACCTAGACAGTAGTCATGAGCCTGTTGGTAGGACCAGGGCACGCAGCAGTCTCCATACAGGAACCCCAGAGTGTGAGATCAGCTGGTGAGGTCCTACAAGGATGATGCATTTGAATATGCACTTGCCAGCTACCACAACTTTACTGATTCAAAGTGTTTTCTTGCTTTCCTTTTTATTTTAGTCTCAGAGATTTTGGCAATAAAAAGAATCCTTTCCTGAAAATGCTAATGGATGCAGAAGCAGCTGCCAATTCTGCAGCAATCCAGCTAGTGTCGTTTAAAGACGCCATGGACGATGAGTATGCTGTAGGTCTGCAGCAATTTTGGATAAAGCTAGCTTTGTGTAAAGCCAAAGGGTTTCCTAAATTAGACATATGTTTTTGCAACTGCTGTCCTGCATTTTCTCTAATTTTCTTTCTTTAATTTTTTTTAATGTCAATTAAGGATTCAAGACAGTCTGCCAAAGATAAACGCCGAATTGCAAGACAGCGTGGGCTTCTGCTGGAAAAGCTAGAGGACTTTAGACGAATTAATAAGTCAGTGCGACAGAAACTGAAACAGCTCCAAGAGGCGGAGGTTTGTTAAACTGCTACTACACCGTATAAGTCAACTGTATTTAGTCTGGAAATGTGTTTATTTATGTCCTTGCTTTAAATAATTCCGCAAAGGCAAATCGAATTGATGCAGACCAGCAGATTGACACGCTGCTGAAGAAGATCATGCAGGCTGAGAGTGAAAATGAGGTGAGTGTTTTATTACACCTATGCATTGGCACAAAAGAGGGAAGTGTAAGGGAATTAAGCTTTGTGATTAGCTTGTGAAGATTTAGTCAGTGAAACAAAGCGATAAAGGATAAGTTATAGTGGTTAGATAGATGGATAATTAATAATATTTCATTTATTCAAATTCCATTGTCTCCGCCTGTGATCAAATTCTTTATAGATTCCCTCACTGATTACATTTTTCTGGGGAACAGAAGTAGAAATATAGTTTTCAGTATCAGCTCAACTGTTTTATTACCTTTGAGTGTGACTCAGCTCTAGGAAGTGACTGAAAGAAAGAGATCACAGATAAAAACAGCCGAAATGGGCTTTCTCCAGGCATGGTTGGGCTCTCCTTTATAAATAGGCTGAGGAGCTTGGGCATTTGGGAGGTGTTCAGAGTAGAGCCACTACTCCTTAATATCAAAAGGAGCCAGTTGAAGTGGTTTGGGTATCTGGATGCCTCCTCAGTGAGGTGTTTCAGGCATGTCCTACCAGGAGAAGGCCCTAGGGTGGGCCCTTGACACGCTGGAGATTATATCTCTCAGCCTGAGAATGCCTTGGTGTTCCCCCAGATGAGCTGGAGGAAGGGGCTGGGGCAAAGGGGCAGCCTTTGGTGATTAAACTAGTGAGAGCACAGCCACATTGGTTCTGATGTCACAGGACATACTCTAAAGGTGTTAACTTTACAAAAGCAATTTTAATGCACAAAGCAACCCCTAAAGTGAAGATATGGTGATGTGATAATATGCATTGGTTTCCATGTTTTTCTCACAGAATTTAAAGAAAGATTTGAGTGAGAGTGAACAGAAGGTCAGGGAGCTGATAGATCTGCGGAGAAAAGAGCAGGTAAGTACAGCAGAGATTATTTGCAGATGAATTAAGTCATTGCCCATGAAATTATATGTTCACGCTGGCTTCAACAGGAGAACGTAAAGAGTGCAGTTCACATGACCAAGTCAGCAGAGGCAACACGTGCTCACCTACAGGGACAGCTACGCAACAAGGAAGCTGAAAACAATCGCCTTACTGTACAATTACGGGTACAGACACCTTTATCAGCTGGCTGTGCTGTAGACTAAACTGCTTTATTAATGTATAAATTAAAACTGCACACTTGTGGGTTCATGGTCTTTGCAGGCTCTGGAGAGACTCATAACCGAGCAGAAGCTGGAGATTGATGATCTGAAGGGGTCTATCACCTCTCTGTCTGCAAAGGCAGCACAGGACAAAGAATCTCTGAAGAAAGCCACCCGAGCTCAGAAACTGAGAGCGGAGAGATTTGAAGCTGCTATTGAGAAATGCTACGCACAGCTGAGGGAAAAGGTACGAGGTCAAATTGGTTCATTATTTTGGCTTCAGAAGCAGTTGAGGATCCCGTTTGGACTTTGTTTGTCTTGTTTGGCAAACAGGATGCTCAGCTGGCCAAAGCCCATTCAGAGAGAGACTCGAGGAGACGACAGAAGGAGCAGACGACAGATGAGAAAGACAAACTCGTTGCTCATATAGACTTATTGAAAAGGTTGGTTGGTTCTCCTTCCCAGCCATTTCTCATTTCTGAGTACATCAATATTCAGATGATGCATTAACTGTAAGTGTCTGTTTCCATTAAAGCCAAATTGCAGACTTGACAATGAGAGTGCAGAAGGAGAAGGACGAGCTAACTGCAGCAAATGAAACTCTGATGCAAAGGCTCGAAAAACTCAGCTCAGACAACGGAGAACTCGGCATAAATAATGCAACACTCAAGGTACAAGTTACTGAACAGCTTGTATGTGAGAGTCATTACTGTGAAAGGCAAAAAGCACAGACATGTTGCAAGAAGTTTGAAGTCCGGTTTCCATATTTAGGAGTTAGGAGGACCTTATTTTACTAAAACTGTTTGGATTTCTCTGCTATCCCAGGAATCTGTAGCTCAGCTGGAGCAGCAGCTCGCTGAGTGCGAGTCTGCCCTCGTAGAGGAGAAGATCGTCTCACAGGAGAAGAAGCACCAAGCTGAACAGTGCCGTTATCAGGTTGGTATTTTGATTTAAAACCTTTTACTTTCTCGTGTGCTCCAGCCCTGAAATATTCCAGACATCACCCAGTGACAGTGGGTCAGCTCCGCAACGCTGTGCCTGTGAGATGTCCGATGCACGCAAGATTAGTACAGGTGACTGTCCTGTAAATTCACAGCAAGGAATTGAGCATCTGGTTTGCTGCCCTCTTCCTTTTTTTGTGCAGGCAGAACCTCAAAAATCAAATGTATCAAAGTATTTTTTTTTCCAGCAGTGACAAACCAGACATAGACCGTCCCTTGTTCTCTGCTACGTGTGTGCAGGGAAACTTTTAATCATGTTTGTAAATGACTGTTATTTTTATAGACCCACTACTTTACTCTGGAGTCAACAAACATCAAAAAATGTGCAATGTCGAAAAAAAGGCACTCTTTCATCATATTTGATCCTCTTAAAGATCATTTCTGAATAAACACCAACACACAACAAAGAGTGTTTTATGTTCTTAAAACTTTCAAACCTTTTACTTCTCATCTATTAATTTCAAATATTAATCTTTCAGTTCTTGTTTTTTTTATTAGTATTTTTATATCTTTTCATGTTTGAAGGTCTTTTTTTTCCTGACGCAGTTAGGATAAAGTAGTTTCCAAACAGGATTACAACAAACCTATTATTTACAGATACAGAATGTGGTCTGTAGAAGCCACTGAATGAATGACACTAGTTTTTAATGACAGGGAAGGCCACAGCAGGTTTCATTTTAATGTTCTGTATTTTTTTTCCCCTCCAGGTTGCACAACTTCAAGCTGAGCTCCATGATCTAAAGATAAAATATACAAATCTTTTAAGAGAAACAGAGAAGACACGAGATGGAAAAGAGGCAGAAGTTGAGAAGGTACCACCGCCCTTCTCTTTAATTTGCCTTATTTTATTTACGTTATGTGCACAGTTTCTGTTACGCTAAAAACTCATTCTAACAGCCCATTACAAGTCTGCCCAGCTCTGTTTCACCTGCTGTTTAATGGACAGTCATTGTGCACTTAGTTTTCTTTTTTCAGCTGCATAACCACAGCTGAATGAATCATGTACATCCGTGAGCATCTCTTGGAGAGGTGTGCTGAGTTTTAAAGCATATTACTGTGTTTCATTTCCCGAAACCCAACTCTTTGTTTTTTGTGCCGTTCCTCCTCTGGAGCCCAGGTGAGGCAGGAGCTGCAGGGGCGCGTGGAGGAACTGAACGTTTACCCCGAGTTACTGAATGCAGCTGAGCAGAGTCTCTTTGAGTGCCAGGAAAACCTGCAGCGCTTGGAGAGGAAGTGCTCAGAAAAGTCAGAGTCCAATAGGCAACTGCAGGTTAAGGTGTGCAAAGCCAGCTGCTGTGGTCAATGTAAAATGCAGTTATTTTCCTATTTTTTGACCACTGGGTGGCAGTATAGCCTCAGGTGACCGCTGGTGCATTGTGGTTTCTAATATTGCTGTGAGTTTCGATGTTTGTGATTGCTGTGCAATGTTTAGGTTGAGCCCACTAGCGAGTCTTTTGTGCTCCCCAGTGTGATCTCTGGTAGAACCAGACGACCACGTGTTTCCGTCAGAAATACTGAGTTTTTATCCCGAATCTGCTCGATTTGAGGCTGATAAATGTTCAGCAGATCGTGGAGGTAGTTGTTGTTTTAAAGTAGCGTTTGTGCACGTGGTGTGATTAAACGTTTTCTGCACGATTTACTTGTAGCCCGTGGAGGCAACTCTGAATTTTATGTTTTGCACACGCAGATGGAGAGTCAAAGCAAACTGCTGAGATCATCTGCAGAGATGAGGGCGTCCATTCATGAGGCCAACTTACAATTACAAGAAAAACTGATTTCTATCCAAAAGTAAGACCCCAAAT